CTATGGGAGATGACCCCACCATCGCTGCCACTGAACAGTCTTCTGCAAGGCTGGTTTGTGGCGAAGATGAAGGTCAGACTGTCCCTTTGCAATTAAGTTTTGCCATCTGTAAAATTGGACTAAATTATTGCTAAGATCACTTCAAAATTCTAGCTTTCTGTCAGAGAGTAGACATTTCATATAATCTGGACATTTTTCTTTCAAATTGTACTTTCCTGCGGATTTTTTCTTATTTTTCTAAGTTTTTTTTAAGCTTATAAGTTACAGAAAGAAAAATGTATACATCTTGATGAATGAAGAGAATGGACACCCACTTGTAACCAGCACCTAGAAAAGAATCATAGGCTTCTATTTCAGTTTCAGAGATCTTATGTCATTAATTCACTCATCTCGTTAATAGTCACTGAGCACCTACACTGTGCTGATAAGGTGATGCAGAGTCAAGAGAATGAGAAGGCATGCCACAAACTGGGAGAAAATATTTGCAAAAGACGCATCTGATCAAGCACTGCTGTCCAAAATACAAAAAGAACTCTTAAAACGCAATAAGAAAACAAACAACTTGACTAAAAGATGAGCCAAAGGATTTAAGAGCTACCTCATCAAAGAATAAATAAATATATATAGCAAGTGAGCATGTGAAAAGATGCCCCACATCCTGTGTCATCAGGGAAATAGAAACTAACACAGCGAGATATCACTACACACCTATTAGAACAGAGAAAATCCAGAACACTATCAGTACCAGATGCTGGTGGGGATGTGGAATAATAGGAATTCTCACCCACTGCTGGTGGAAATGCAAAAAGGTACAGTCACTGTGTAAGACAGTTTGGCAGTTTTAAAACTAAGCATATGCTCTTACCATATAAGCCAGCACCGCATTCCTAGATATTTACCCAAAGGAGCTGAAAACTTAGGTCTACATGAAAGCTTCCATACAGATATTTATAGCAGCTTTATTCATCATTTCCAAAACATGGAAGAAACCAAGATGTCCTTCAGTAGGTGAATGGATAAACTAAATTCAGACAATTCAGTGCTAAAAAGAAAGGAACAATAAAGCCATGAATAGACATGGAGGAACTTTAAATGCATATTACTAAGTGAAAGAAGCCCATCTGAAAAGCTACATACTATTTGATTTCAATTATGTGACATTCTGAAAAAAGGCAAAACTATGGAGACAGTAAAAAAAATTGTTGTTGTTGTCAGGGAGGTAGATAAACAGGTGGAACACAAAGGTTTTGGGGGCAATGAAACTATTCAGTATGATGCTGTAATGGAGAATGCATGTCACTATATTTCCCTTACAACACACAGAATAAACATAACCAAGATTGAATCTGAATACAAACTGTGGACTTTGGCTCCTAATGATGTGTCAGGGTGGGTTCACGGATGGTAACGAATGTACCGCTCTGCTGCTGGATGTTGATAATGACGGGGGACTGGGGCCAGGGTGTATGGAACTCTCTCCACTCCTGGCTCTGTTTTGCTGTGAACCTGAAACTGCTCTACAAAATAAAGTCTATTTTTAAAAATGATGCAGAGTGGAAGTTGTCATGAGGTGCCCCTAGTTTTAGCCTTGTCACTATAAAACCTGGGACAGACTACTCAATCCTTTCTGGAAAATAAAGAAACAAGACTTGATAAGATCAATGCCCCCCTTTAACTCTAGATCTTGTATCAGAAAAATTATATTCAGGAACTTAAATCATTCCACAAAGCATTTTGGTTTTGCTTGAGCTGAACCCCTCTTCATATTTAATTTTCTCCTGTGACTCTACCAAGAACAATTAATCAGAGTATGCTGTGTGCTGTGCTTAGTCGCTCAGTCGTGTCCGACTCTTTGTGACCCCATGGACTATAGTCCTCCAGGCTCCTCCGTCCATGGGGATTCTCCGGGCAAGAATACTGGAGGGGGTTGCCATGCCCTCCTCCAGGGGATCTTCCCAACCCAGGGATCGAACCCAGGTTTCCCACATTGTGGGTGGATTCTTTGCCAGCTGAGCCACCAGGGAAACCCAAGAATACTGGAGCGGGTAGCCTGTCCCTTCTCCAGGGGATCTTCCCGAGCCAGGAATCGAAAGATGGCCTCCTGCATTGCAGGCAGATTCTTTACCAGCTGAGCTCCCAGGGAAAGTAATCATATCTAAAACCTTCCTACATTTGTTAATAGTACACAGAGCACAGACTCCAAACAGATCTGTGAAGAAAGCAAGCCTCCTGTTGCTGCCCTCACTTCCCTTCCCCTCTCTTCCATCTTCCTGGAGCCTAGCTTCCTTGGGCTCTTCTTCCCACCTTGAGGAGACCTGCTGTCGGGAAGGGCCCGCTGCAGTTCTGTAGCTCTCCCTGACATGCTGGTTTCTCCTGGCCCATGAGGAATCACCGTGGCTCCTTCAGTTGTGCCCTGAGGCCTCAGGCCCAGCTCTGTGATGGCGTCAGAGGTGTGGCCTCTATTTCCACGCCCAGCTCCCTGACTGGACTCTAAACCTCATGACAATAAGAACCATCTCTTTCTTGGAGCACAGGCTCAGTTATACATGTGAATAAAGTCCCTTCCCATCAAACTTTACATTGCTGAGAAAGCCTGCTTTGTCCACCTGCTATGGGGATACATGTTCTCCTCATGATTCACGGATCCTGTGTTTTCAAATTTTCCCACTCACTGGAATGTGTTTGTAACCTCACTTGCATTTCTGTGGTCATTCAAGGACACATGCAGAACAAAGACGCACACCTGTGTCAGATGGTCTTTGTTCAGGCCTGAGTTTTAGTACTGATGGCTGTGAGTTCAACGTTAATGAAGCAACACTATATGCTCAGTAAGCTGCCAACAGTATATATCTATAATTATGTATAGTCAGCTGACAAAAAGTGACCAGAGACCACAGGAACCTAACCTTCCTTTTCCCCTAGGAGCTCATATCAGTATTTGCTAATTCAGCACTTATGGTGACTTTATAGAATTACTTTATAGAACTACTATGGATAATGGCAATCAAATGTATTTGCTGTTTTTTACAGGAAGAAAAGTATTGACTCTCTTTATAGGAATCCCCTGACCATCACAAACAAGTGAGTTTATTTGGCCAACAAACAAGGTGGAGGGCATGACCAGTCTCCAGGTCCCTGAACTCATGGTCCTCCTCTGAGTACACATGGCTTACAACATTCTGTCCAGTTGTCCCTAGAACATTTTCCAGAAAAGTAAAAAGAACAACCAAACATCTTGCTGCTCCCTTTCCAGCATATGATTTCACTGTGGGAAATTTAGACTTTGCAGTAAAGGAAAAGCCAATTGTTTCCGACACTTAACTCTATTAGAAACATCATTAATAAATAATCAGCTTTTTAAACAACTTACCATGAGAAAAACAAAATATAAATTCTTACCCAGTCCTCAGATCTGCAACACTCTAAATTCAGATTCTTTATTAAAGATTAAAAGACAATTTAAGTATTAAAATATGAATTGTACTGAAGCTCTGCACTGAAGATTAATATTGAGCAAAACAACTTTTTACTGCTCACTAAATGTGAAGAAAAAAGTATCAAAATTTGCCACTTAGAACTTGAATCTTGGGTCCACTAATTTCAAAAGCTTTTTTTCCCTCTCAAAAGACATAATGAATGAAGGCAGTAATGTTAAAAACAAATAGGAAAAATAAAAATTATAAACACAGATATTGTAATAATTCAACCAAATAGTTAAGTTTCCAGGGGCTGCTGTAAACACAACTTGGTGGCTTAAAATAACTTGGTAGAGAGAGATTTACTCTCTCCCAGTCCTAGACGCCAGAAATCCATAGCAGACTCACTGGGCTGAAATCAGTGTGTGAGCAGGACCATACTCCCTCTAGAGGAGAAATTGTTCTTTGTCTTTTCCAGCTTCTGATGGCCAATGCATTCCTTGGCTTTCGACCTCATCACTCTGTGGTCACCTTGTTTTCTTCTTTTATGTGTGTGTCAAATCTCACCTTATCTCTTTCTTATCAGGATTTATTGAATATTGGTCCACCCAGATAATCCAAGATTTTATCCCCATCTCAAATTCTTTAACTTAATCAAATCTACGAAGTTTTTTTTCTTCTAAATAAAATGACATCCACACTTTCCAGGGATTAGGGGATTAGGACATATGTATCTTTTGGGATGGGGCATTACTTAGCTTGCTGCAGGAGGTAAACCTAATAATTCTATCTATGTACTTGTAACATAACCTAATGAGAAAGAGACGTGCCTGTGAGAACACCTCCTCTGTTCCTGAGACCCCCATACTTCATAGCCAGTTGAGATTTTTTTATGATAACAATGATGATAACTTTATCAAGCACCAGCCATGTGCCTACTCCTGTTTTAGGTATCCAAGCCTTGCCCCACAGAATCCTCACAATGACCCTACATGGTAGGACCACCATGTTTTCACATTTTACAAGTGTGGAAATGGAGGAGGCCATATCCATCAAAACAAGACCCAGTTTCCCCCTCAGTCAGTCTCTCCCATCAGGAAGCTTCCATAAGCCTCTTATCCTTATCAGTCAGAGGACAGACAGAATGAAAACCAGTCACAGAAAACTAATCAAACTGATCACATGGACCACAGCCTTGTCTAACTCAACTGGGTGTTGTTTTTTCTTTGGCTCCATCTCCTTGTTCTTTCTAGAGTTACTTCTCCACTGATCTCTAGTAGCATATTGGGCACCTACCGACCTATGGAATTAATCTTTCAGTGTCCTATCTTTTTGCCTTTTCATATTGTTCATGGGATTCTCAAAGCAAGAATACTGAAGTGGTTTGCCATTTCCTTCTCCAGTGGACCACGTTTTGCCAGAGCTCTCCACCATGACCTGTCCGTCTTGTGTGGCCCTGCACCCGTGTAGCAAAAACAACACCCAGTTGTGGATGTGACTGGTGATNGGCCCCTGCCCATCCAGCACCTGCGCCGTCCCTCCAGCGCACTTGCCACGCAGGCCTAGTGAGTCCCGGGGCCTCCCTCAATACGCAAGTCTGTGAAGCTGCCCGCCGGCCCCCCGGGTGCCAGAGGCCTCCCCGGACCGGGTCCTCCAGCACAGCGGGCAGGGGGCAGTTGGGCGTGAGTGGCCGGGTGGACCCCAGCTGGGGTCCAGACCGCCTTCCGCCTTGGTGGGAATCGTGGGTGCACCCTCCGCAGGACGCCAGGCCCAGGAAGACGCGAGGAAGCCTCCCCCACCCCCGCCCCCAGAGGTCGCTGGACGGGCGCAGGACCCAGAGCGGCAGCCTCACCTGGGTCAGGTCCACCAGCTTGCCCCTGCGCGTGGGCCGAAACTCCAGGGCTCGCAGCTGGGAGACGAGGTCGCAGCGCCGCTTCTGCTCCTCCTTGGCCGCCTCCGTGCTGCGCTGCAGCAGCTCCCGGTTCTCCTCCGTCACCTCCTGAGCTGGGGGCCAAGCAGGGTGCTGAGGGGTTCGGAGAGCAGCCGGCCGGCCCCGGGGCCGGGGGTAGCTCCTGGGAGGGCACGGCGCCCCCCCACCCCCTACCTATCCGCCGGCGGCCCTTTCGGAGCTCCGTCTGCGCCACCTTGACGTTCTTCTGTGTCTCTATCACCTGCTCCACCAGCTCCTTCATGGACTTTTCCTCCTGGAGGCGCCTCTCTGCGCACCGCTGCATCAGCTCAGCTGTCTGGACACAACCGGCCACCATCAGAGCAACCCGCTCTGGCCCCTGAGCCGCTGATGTCGGCCCTGAATCACCCAGGAACCTGGGTTTAGGCTCGCCAGCGTCTGGGGGGTCAGACCTGCAGGGAATTCCCACCTCACACCCTCCTGGCCTCCCCTATGGGGGTGAGCCCAGAACCAGGCCGCCACGGCCCCAGGTCCGACAGGGCCGCCGAGGAGGGCAGCAAACAGAGCCGGGGGGAAACTGGGTCAGGGCCCCAGGCCTGCCCTGAAGCCCACCCACTGCTCACTCCAGGTCACAGAGGAGGACCCTCCTCGCTTTGCAGCCACGTGGGGCCAGCTGTCCAGATTCTGCCCACGACAGGCACAGGCCAGGCTCCAGGGGAGCCCCAGGCACGTCCTGATGGTCCTCCCACACTCCTCTTTCTCCTGGAGCCTCTGATATGCACAGCCCTGAACCACAGGGCGTGCTCCCGCCACTGTGAACCACGTCACAGGCCCTGCGTCCCAGCTCCTCTCTTCTGCTCTGCGTCAGGGGTTCCAGCCTCGCCCACGTGTTCACTGGGATTGCAGCTGGCTTACTCTTATGGCTGTTTCAGGGAATATATCACAACTCTTTGATCAATCCTACCACTGAGACACATTCAGGTTGTTTCCCGTTTGGCGCTATCGTGAACAATTCAGAATATTATTTTCAGTCTTCAAGATACTACAAATTGGACTTCCCTGGTGGTCCATCGGTTAAGAATCTGCCTGACAACGCAAACCTGAGCGCCAAAGAATTGATGCTTTTGAACTGTGGTGTTAGAGAAGACTCTTGAGAATCCCTTGGACTACAAGGAGATCTAACCAGTCCATCCTAAAGGAAATCAGTCCTGAATATTCATTGGAAGGACTGATACTGAAGCTGAAACTCCAACACTTTGGCCACCTGATATGAAGACCTGACTGGAAAAGACCCTGATGCTGGGAAAGATTGAAGGTGGGAGGAAAAGGGGATGACAGAGGATGATATGGTTGGATGGCATCACTGACTCAATGGACATGAGTTTGAGTAAACGCTGGGAGTTGGTGATGGACAGGAAGGCCTGGCGTGCTGCAGTCCATGGGGTCGCAAAGAGTCAGACACGACTGAGCGACTGGACTGAACTGAACTGAAATCCATGTTAACTGAGAGGCATAACCAGGCTTCAAAATTGAGACTGTCCCCCGCCCTCGCCGGTGTCGCTGGTTGATTGGGGGTGCACCGCGCCTGACTCCCTGAAGAAGAAGGTCCCACGGGCAGGAGCCTGAGCCGCCGCTGCAGGTGTTCCAAGACTGCTCGGTGTTAGAACACTGGCTCGTGGACTCCGGCTCCATGAGCTCCACAGTGCCCTAAAATAAAACACTGTGCTTGGAGAAGAAGGATATCCCTTTGTGTCGTAATGATAGCGTAGCTATTCAGATCATTTTGAGTTTACAAGCGCATGCAGGCAAATCTTCCTTTCCTGAAGGTGGAGCAGATCTCACACACTCACTCCTTTGATTCTGGATCCTGTGCTGTGCTGTGCTGAGTCGCTCAGTCGTGTCTGACTCTTTGCGTCGCCATGGACTGTAGCCCACCAGGCTCCTCTGTCCATGGGGATTCTCCAGGCAAGAACACTGGAGTGGGTGGCCATGCCCTCCTCCAGGGGATCTTCCCCATCCAGGCATTGAACCCAGGTCTCCCGCATTGCAGGCAGATTCTTTGCTGCCTGAGCCTCTTGTCTGAGCATGCTGTCTCCTAGCTTGTGCTCACGCTGCTCTTCTCCTCTCAGTTCCCATCTCCTTTCTGTTCATCTGGCATCACATAGTGAGCACCTAGTATATGCAGGGTATTGGGCTAGGTGCTGCCCATATAAAGGCAATTAAACAGGAATCCTCCCAACAGCAGAATCTATAGTCAGTTTATTCCAACACTCTTAAAACTGGTTAGAGCTAGTCACTGGTTTATTCATTCTATTCAACAAATATTTATTGGGCATCAAAGAATTGTGCCAGGTGTGAAGGGAGTAAAAAATAAAAAAGGTATCTAACCAGCCTGAGAGAGGGTAACTAGTGCTTCCAGGAGGAATTACGAAGCTTAAAGATGGATAGGAATTGTCTAGATTCAGTTTGAAGAGGGTTTTCCAGGGAGTAGGGTAACTTTGCAAGGCTGGGTGTGAGGGGACCAAGGAAAAAGTGGCAACGGATAAGGGTAAGGGGTTAGGGTCAGAACTTGGAGGGGCTTGAAGGCTATGTCAAGATTTCCAGACTTTATCCCAAGGGGGGAAATGAGCTCTTGAAGATGTTTTACTTTTTAATAAATAAAAAACTTATTTACATTACAAGAAGCACACAGACTCTGTACAATACATACCAACAGAAGTAAAAAGAGTACATTGTGTATCTTCCACTACAAGTTCCTGACACAAGAGTTAGTGCCCTTAAGTATATAATGCATATAAACAGAAGGAAAACAATAAAGACTTTTAAAAAATTGGCACAGGTTACATCAACGTCAATCTCTTGGTTGTGGTTCTATACAAAAATCAGCTAAAATATTACCATTGGAAGACATTAAGTGAAGGGTATTATTATCACTATTATTTCTCACAACAGTATGTGAATCTACAAAGATCTCAGAAAAAAAGTTTTTTTAAAGGCACACACATTCAAAAATAAAGTCAAAGAGATCTTCTTGGCAAGTAAAATACTGATATAGTAAAACAGCACAATGGAACTGCTGGTAGTTTCTGAACACCAGTGAGAGCAACCCGTTCAGTGGAGCTTTGGATGTGACTAAAGGTTCAGCTGTGGGTCTGTAACCCACATTTTCACTGCAAAAAACAAAACAAAACAAACAAAAAAAAATCCTGAGAATGCTTAGAGCATTGATACACAAAGGAAAAAATGGAATGACTCAGATGGCAATGAAATTCTAAGAAAAGTAGGATTGTGTGGTTAGGGAAAGAGGTGGCTGCTGGACTATGATTCATAAGTGGGTTTAGATGTCCCTAACACCCAGCTTACCAGCAAATAAATTATGTTCTTTCATTGGCTATTGTAGGATACAGTGCTCACCAGTGGTTTCCTTGCCTGCAAGAGTTTCCAGTGATGTTTCTAGCAATGTTCCTTGGATTCTAATGAATACGTGATATAAACTGCATAGCGAAATTAACCCCAGATATGGAGTAGGACATGCTCAGGTCCTGATACTCAACTCATAAGATGAAGCAACCCATCACAAACAAGTTAGAACTTACCAGCCTCTTAAAAGGTTTTTAACAATAGGAGTAATGTAATCAAATGTGTCATCTAGAAGATCTCTTTGGCAGCCGGATAGACAATTTATTTGGGAGGGGGGGTGAAAGTTCAAAGGAGAAACAGTAAGCACTTCCACTAAAGGGGCAGTGGCAATAGAGAGGAGATAGATTCTAGAATTATTTAGGAAGCAAAAAATAGCTGTCTTAATTATAAGAAATTCCCATTAGAAGTTGGCTCTTGAATCTGCTGGGATCAAATTTGGCTGTAAAGCAGAATGTTGGGTGGTAGTGGTTTAAACAAGATAGAGGTTTATTTCTCTCATAAAAAGAAGTCCGGAGCCTTCAGTTCAGATGCGATCTGGTGGCTCCAGAGTCATCAGGGTGTCAGGTTCCTCCTGTTCTGATCCACATTGCTGGTACATAGCTTCTGTCTTTAAAGATACAGTTTCGTCCAAGATGGCTGCCAGAGCCCATCTAACTGGTCCACATCACTGCTGGTGGAAAGGAGAACTTCAGTTCAGATGCGATCTGGTGGCTCCAGAGTCATCAGGGTGTCACGTTCCTCCCATTCTGATCCACATTGATGGTACATAGCTTCTGTCTTTAAAGATACAGTTTCGTCCAAGATGGCTGCCAGAGCCCATCTAACTGGTCCACATCACTGCTGGTGGAAAGGAGAGAGGGGGAAAACTGAGCCATCAAAACTTCCACAGAGCCTTCCCAGGATTTCCACATACGTCGATGTTTACATCTCATCGGCCAAAACCAACGACTACACCTACAAAAGAGGACGATAGGGAAATAATATATTCTAGCCCTGATATCATTACCAGAATATCTGGAATGGATATTTGATGAATACTTAGCAATCTGTGTCACAGATTGCCATCAACTAAATGAGACACAGAGAAGGCAAGAATATCCTAGTCCTTCAAGGGATGAGTCACAGAGTTTGGTGGACACTGTGGTATGTCTCCTAGGTCTCCTTCCAAGAAGGACTTTTTGCCTCAACTGCAGGGAGCATTGTTGACAGAGAGCGTTCATCTGTCAGATTCTTCTGAGAGCCTTTGCACCCAAGGAGCCTAGCCAGCCTACGTGTAATGACCATTGATACAGGAATATAAAGGCACATCCACCTTCATCCAACTGAGGACAACTCAGAAGGACTATGCTGGCTCCACATCCTTCCTTGCAGTTGGCCAAGGCCATCATTGAGTTACATGGTAACATGAATTTTCAAGCTAGAATCTAAACTCCCAAAAGAAATGACAAAGTTCCCTTTTCTTGCCAAAAATTTCTCTCTTTTTTTCCCCCCAGAAGTGACTCCTACTTTCTTGCCCTCCCTTCCACAGCATGGAGGCCATGTTCACTCTTTAATAAACATCCTGGGTGCCAAACTTTATATCAGAGTCTGCTTCCCAGGCAAGTCAATGTGGCAAGAAGGGAGGGTATATCTACCCAAGGTGTCAGAAACTTTAGAAGGAGGTGAAACGTTCACATAAGAAAACAGAATGGGCTGGAAAGATGGAGATATGCTGCTGTGCACACATCCCTTTGTTCTGTATCATGCTTGCCTCTCATGGCTGTCAACGCACACGTCCTTAGCATCTTCTACATCCTATCCAATGTGTAGCTATCCATCTAGGTTTGGATAAGCAGATTCTCAAACTTGTTAAAACTGTGCGTGAAGCAAGGAAAATGGCCATAGGGTGAGAGCTGAGTCTCCCTGGAAAGGAAGTGTCTGAGCATGCATGTGGTGGCACTTCCACCATCATTAGTTACACTTAGAGCCTTCCCCCCCACCACCCTTGGATCCTGGCTAGGCTCCAGAAAAGTGAGATGGGACTCAAAATGCAAGACATAAGAGGGAAAAATTACTCTAGGTTTGAGGCATTTTCCTCTCTAACTCAGAAGCCCACTCTCCTTGCTCCATCTGGGGGTTTACAGAATCTGGCCTGAAACAGTGTCATTACAGACATCCTTTCCTCTGGGCTTCCCTGGTGGTTGAGATGGTAAAGAATCCACTTGCAAATCAGGGTTCGATCCCTGGGTTGGGAAGATCCCCTGTAGAAGGAAAAGGCTTACCCGCTCCAGTATTCTTGCCTGGAGAATTCCACGGACAGAGGAGCCTGGTCATGGGGTCGCAGAGTTGGACCCAACTGAGTGACTAACACGTTCACTTTCCTCACTTCCTCTGGGGTTCCATCTGCCCATTTGTGAAAGCTGGTCTGCACAAATGTTCACTTAGGATAGGAAGAGACCACCTGAGCACCCAGTCGTGTGTGAGGGGTGCTCAGGACACATGGAGAAAAATGTCACAGAAGGGCCAGACCACGTCATCACCCAGCTCTCAGGCAGGTGGTCCTTCCCGCAAAGCCCCGCCTCCTCACCGGTGAGTATGAGGGCCTGCAAACCTTACATATGCACCTAAAACTCCGTGGTTAGAAATGTTTTTCCATTTTCATGACTCGGAGCAAACATTATTCACATTGTGCCTCTGAATACACCCA